CCTTCTCTCCCCTCAGCTACTGTTAACTTCTGTCTTCCAACCTTTCAGGATGGGGAATCCACAGCTGTCATGAACTTTGTGTCTTACAGAAGCATCAAGGCCCCTAACTCTAATTCCCCATACCTAGTAACTCCAATTTGACTATAAAAGGTACTAGTTTTGTTATAGCCGTTTCAGCAAAAAGAATCATGCCACGAAAATGTCCAAATTAAAAGTCCTTTATAGCCGGCGACCAAAAGGTGAGCTCTCACTCTTAACTCCCTCTTGGTACCGAGAAAGTAGGGAAGCCCTGTTTTTAAAGGGAAAAACCACACAACCACACAATAGAATGTCATGATCTCATCTTTGAGCAAGCACAGGGTACAGAAGCAGATTGCAAGTCAGATTAAAATCCAATATTTGGGGTCCAGCAGGAAATTCCTATCGTTATGGTTAGGGCCACAGTATAACAGGTCCTGTCCTTTGTTCTGAACCACAAGGTAAGCTAGGTGCTGGTTAACTTACCACTTTGAACAAGCAGTCTGAGGAGGAAAAGGGGTGAAGTTCAGGCACAGGCCTTTGGGGGGTTTCTGGTTAACTTGCTTACTTCAGTTTGATGGTTGTTCATCACCTACTTTATGAAAGAAACCTCACTTAGTCCTCACCATCTGCCTATTATTTGGGCATTATCAATTTGCCCTTACCACACAGCGGAGGTGTGGCCAGGTTAAAGGTCCAAGGTCACAAGCTAAGTGCTGTGGTGGGGACTTAAAGCAAGAAAACGCTCTGCTTTCTGATGCTGGCAGGCAGCTGCTGAGACTCGAGGCCTTCCGATGCATGGGTAGGAGTCTGGTATCACATGTGTGTTTGCTTTGGCAAAATGCAGAACACAAAGTAAATAGCAAAAGCCAGACATGTACTCCAGGAAAGGTCTATAGGTTTTCATAGAATTAATACCTCGAGCAGTTTCTACTGCTATCCAATAGTGACAGGAAGGTAAGATACATCACTTAACAGCCAGGCCTTTCATATGAATATCTAGAGGACACTCACCCTAAATAGGATTTGATGCTAAATACCATTTCTGGGAATTGTTTTGCCCAGAGAAACTTTATAATTCCATAGGTCTAGAAGTTCCCTCAGAGGTCAGCTATTCCAGGCCATTTATAGTACTGTTCAGCAATTATCTTTTAAAGTAGTGTTCTAAGGATCTCTTGCTTTTTATGTTACATGTGTGTGCAATGTTTAATTTTTTATAAGACATCACATAGGGCCGGGGATTTAGCTCAGTGGCACTGTGCCTGTCTTGCAAGTACAAGGTCCTGAGTTCAAACCCCGGTACCAGAAAAAAAAAAAAAGACATCACACAGACGGGTATGGTGGCACACAGCTATAGTCTCAGCACTCTGGGAGGCTGAGGCAGGAGGATCAAAAGTTCAAGTTCAGCCTGTGCAATTTAACAACTCAGTGAGTCCCTGTTTCTAAATTTTTTTTTTGTTACCAGGGGTGATCGAACTCAGATCCTTGCACTTGTGAGTCAGGCGGTGGAACCACTGAGCTAAATCCCCGGCCCCCTTGTTTCTAAATTTTAAAAAGTGCTAGGGATGGAGCTCAGTGCCAAGGCCCTAGGTTCAATCCCCAGTACCACACACACACACACACACACACAAACACATCACACATAGAAAAGTAAATGGGGAGGTGCTAGGAATCGGACCCAGGGCCTTGCACATGCTGAGCACACACTGTACCACTGAGCTACAACTCAGGGCCCAGGAAAAAAAATTTTTTTAAATTATTTCTAATAAGACATTTCAATGGGGAAATTATAGTTTCTCAATGAATAGTGCTGGAACAACTGAGTGTCCACAGCCCAAAGAATGAATCTGGATTCCTACCTCACACCACATACAAAAAATAACTCAAAATTTACCAAAGGGCTAAATATAAGACTTAAAATCATAAAACTCTTAGAAGAAAATATAGGAGTAAATTTATATGATTTTGGGTTAGGCATAGGCTTAGGTACAAAACCAAAAATACAACCAAGAAAAGAAAAATAGAGAACTCTGGTGTAGCAGTGCACATCTGTAATCCCAGCACCTGGGAGGCAGAGGCAGGAGGATCGCCATGAGTTCCAGGTTGGCCTGGGCTACAACATGAGTTCAAGGCCAGCCTGCAATACATAGTGAGACCCTGTCTCAAAAAAAAGAAAGAAAATAGAAATTGGATTTATTAAAATTAAAAACTTATGCTACAAACTATATCATTAAGAAAGAGAAGGGAGGGGCCAGGGATTTAGCTCAGTGGTTTTGCCGCCTGCTGTGCAAGCGCAAGGACCCGAGTTCGATCCCCAACACAAAAAAAAAGAAAAAAAAGAAAGGGAAGGGAAAAAAACCACAGAATAGAAAAAATATTTGAAAATTGCATATATGGTAAGAAAATTGTATCCAAAAAGTATGATGGACACTTGACTTATGAACTCAATTCGTTCCCGAGGTCTGGTTGTAATTCAAGTTGATCAACTGCCTTCAAAGTCTCTCTCCTGTACACAGGCACATCTCAGTGTCCTTAGAGAGACACTGGCTCAGGATTTCTCAGTTAATCCCACACAGGAAAGGATGCTGTAATGTTCCTTCCAGAACTCTGTAAGGGTTAAATCTGTATCTGAGACCATCTGGAAGCACAAGTGGCTGGCATTCTGGTCGTAACTAAAGACTTTGTTCATAAGTTAAAACTAAAATTCCAGTTATAACCTGAATTGTTCATATGTCGGGCCAGTGGTAACTCAAGGGTCTACTATATAAAGAACTTTTAGAAGTCAATAATAAAGAGACAACCCAAATTAGAAACAGGCAAAAAACTTGAATGGATATTCCTTCAAAGAAGATCCAAAGCTGGTCAATAATTACACGAAAAGGTGCTCGACATCACTAGGCATTAGAGAAATACAAATCCAAACCATGAGATACAGGGCACACTCACTACCACACAGACAAGTGCTTGAGGGTGTAGCTCAGTGGTAGAGCAGGCTTTGCATGCACAAGGCCCTGGGTTTCATTTCCAGCACCACAAACAAATATAAATCAATACCATAGACAATAACAAGTGTTGTCAAGGAACTGGAGAAACTGAACCGCTCATACATTACTACTGGGTATGAAAATGATACAGCCACTTTGGAAAACAATGTGGCAGTTCTTCAAAATGTTAAACGTAGGGTCTGGGGGTTTAGCTCAGTGGTTTCGCTGCCTGCTGCGCAAGCGCAAGGACCCGAGTTCAATCCTCGGTACCAAAAAAACAAAACAACAAAAAAAATGTTAAATGTATTCACTGACCCAGCAATTCCACCCTTAAATATAAACCCAAGAAAACAGAACATACATCCACACAAAATTTGTACTTGAAGTGTTCATAGAAACATCATTCATAATACCCAGAGTGGAAATATTTAACAGAGGAACCGTGACTGCATTATGCTAAGTAGAAGAAGCCAGTTCTGAAGGCTTGTACAGCATGATGACATTCATATAAAATGTGCAGAATAGACAAACCTTAGAGACCGAAAGTAGTTTAGTGATTGGGGTTGTGTATGTGTTTTGGGATCTGGAGAGTGGCTTCTAAGGACTTCCTGGTGATGAAAATGTGCTGAACTTAGACTGTAGCATGTAAAAGGCCCTAGGTTCAATCCTAAGCACCAAAAACAAAACAAAGACTGTGGTGATGGCTGTAAAATTGTCAACATACTAAAAACCACTGATCTATATACTTTATGTGGCATGTAGATTATATCATAATAAAGCTGTGTAAAAGAAAAAAAGCTGATCCATTAAACTGATGCAATATGATTAAGGGGTCACTCCACCCATTATTAAACACTGAGGATATTCTCACATAAAATGAAACAATTTACATGAGCAATACTTAAAATCATACTACCTTTCACTTCCACTTATGACAATAAACTCTTAGGAAAATAGTTCATCTTTGCCTATTTTATTTCTTCATGTGCTTCTAATTCCTGACAAATTTATGTTATCAAATTATTTTATTGCTTCTGTACTATTTCAAGGATATAAACTGGGTGTGGGGGCTGGGGATTTATCTCAGTTGTTTCGCTGCCTGCTGCACAAGCGCAAGGACCCGAGTTTGATCCACAGTACCAAAAAATAAAATAAAATAAAAAATAAATAAACTGGGTGTGGTGGCTCACACCTGTAATCCCAGCACTTGGGAGGCTGAGGCAGGAGGATCAGGATCATCATGAGTTTGAGGCCAGCCTGAACTACAAAGCAAGACCCTGTCTAAAAAAAAAAAAAAAAAAAAAGGAAAAGTTGTCAGTGGAAAAATATAATTCTGAAGTGCTGGTGAGAATAGTGTTACAAGCCTGTATTATTAAATTTGAGTCATGAAAAAGGCCAGAGCCAGAGGCCACAGACATCCAAGTCACCCCAGCACTAACCTAAGTGTGCATGTTCTGTGGTCTACAGCTGCTGTGCACTTCTAGGAGGAACAGCAATTCTAACAAGATGACAGTTTCGAAAATCAGGTCATGGACATCTCCAAAATGTAGTAATGCCGGGAATTTAGCTCAGTGGTTTCACCACCTGCTGCGCAAGCAAAAAATGTAGTAAGCCCACAAGACTCCACGTGGCACGACCACATGAATAATGATGGGAAATCACCATGTTGTGACACAACCTCAGTTGGTTTAAAGACACAGAGAAGCCGGGCACGCAGGGTGGGCCTGTGGTCCCCAACACTGGGGAGGCTGGGGCCAGCCCTCGACCCCTGGGAGACCTCACTTCCAGAGACTCTGATGCACCTGACACAGAGGCAACAACATCTTTATCTCCTTGGAAACACAGTGCATGCGCTCGTCTCTATGTTCTTTGAGGTCCTGTTCAGTGCAGGGATCTAAGGTGCCCCGTGGGTTCATCCCAGGGGATGTAACAACCAGAGCTGTCTGACCCAGTCACTTCCTAGGCATTTAGTATCAGAAACCACCCACACATGAAGAATGAATTAGTAAAGTGTTTTACTCCATATGTACCAAGTCAGGGACAGAAACTTGTAAAATCAAAATAGAATAACCAGAATCATAAAACCTTGCATTCACAATATTGAACCTAGAAAAAACAGAATGTTAAAATTTTTTAAGAAATTGACAGAGAGAGAGAGAGGCTCATATAGAGTATGTTTCACTGACAATCTGTACACTCAGAATTTGTGAACATGTTACAAGGTGGGGGAAAAGTCCAGTACAAATGTCAAAACTCAGGGCCGGGGATTTAGCTCAGTGGTTTCGCCACCTGCTACACAAGCGCAAAGACCCGAGTTCCATCCCCAGTACCAAAAAAAAAAAAAAAAAAAAAAAAGATATCAAAACTCAGAGCCCGCTGCACCTGCCTGGCAAGCACAAGGTCCTGAGTTTGATCCCTGGTACGAAAAACAAAACAACAAAACTCAGAGCCAAAAATAATCCTGAGTTTTCCACAGGTACTCACTGAGAAAGAGAAGACTTCTCCACCACCCATTTCCTGGTCCCAGATGGGAGCAGTTATTATGCACATCTCTGGTAACATTTTATAGAAAATAAATGCCCAGATATAAGGACAATTTAACTTAACATTTCCTCTTCAATTTGCTTTTTATAGCAGACATATTGATTTCATCTTGAACATGATATGCCAGATAGCCTGAGCTTCCGGGAACAAAGTCATGTAACTCCCCAAGGTATTTCTTCATGGCATCAATTGATATGTAACCTAAAAAATAAGCAAAAACATACAATACATATTTGAAATCTTAAACCATGCATTTTTTGGTGTGTTATGACTGGGATTCAAAATGTCCCCTAAAGGCCTCACTGGGTTGAAGGCTTGGCTGCCAGCTGCTGGGATCTGAGGAACTTATCGGATCCTGAGGCCCTGATGTCATCCAGTGTCTCAATCCCCGAGGAGTGCCTAGCTCAAGGGCTGACAGGGAGCCAGAGCCTCGCTGGAGCAGGTGATCGCTCAGGTGTGTCTTTGAAGGGCTCTGCCTCTTTCCCTTTTCTTGCCACTCTCCTCAGCCAGGCCCTTCCACCATGATGCTTCTGCCTCAGAGCCACCAACTTCGGCCTGGAACATCTGAAACCCTTTCCTCTCTGAAGCTGTTTTTCTCAGGTATTTGGTCACAGTGATGGAAAGCTAACACACAGCATCTTTAAGATTTTTAAAACATGTTTTTTTAGAAAAGAATTGAAAAGGATTATTAAATAATACCAGTGAAAAGATTGTCCGTCAAATCTGATAATAATCAGGAAACATATTCCTTCCCCGTTTCTACCACCTTTTAAGCCCTTATTTTATTTTATTATTTGAGACAGGGCGTCACTATGTAGCCCAGGCTAGCCTTGAACTCACAACCCTCCTGCCTTACCTTCCCAAGTAGCTGGGAGTACAAGCATGTACCACCATGCCCAGTTAAACCATGGGTATCTTGGCTAAGAGTGTGACGTTCAGGTTGGAGCTGGAACAAAAAAGTACCTAGACCAAGATAACTAGGAATAACTGGCTTAGAGAGTAAACACTTAGAATTATCTATTATTCAACTGGCTGCTAACAGCACAAATAGCTCATCTTCCCTATCAGAGTAGGCAACATTTTCCTGCACTCCCAACACTGGGATAACATTCTTTGGTGAAAATTTAATTAGAAAAATCGCTATAACTGCTCAATCAACAAGGTTATGGGAGTGATTCTGATTAATAATCTGAAATATGAAATAGATATATGAGTATTAGGAAAATGAAAGGACACCTTGCCTAAATGTAGAAAGCTTAAGAACTCAAAGACTTTAAACAATTACTTGAAAGCAATTGCTACTATTTGAAGGATTATATTTTAGGTAATGCAAATGTTTGTGGTTTATACTGAAATTGAAATCTAATTTAAAAGTAAATATTATATGAAAAAATTCTGGTACAGCTCAAGTATGATTGAATTTAGGACACCACTACCATCAAGACCAACAGGATATCTATGTGTGTAGTTTAGTTGCTTTAATAATAAGTAATAAATTCATGATTAATAAACTATGAATCCAACCATATAAAACTGATTA